CTGGATTCTCTGTGAAATCAAATTTATTTTATTTTTTTTTCAAATTACGTTTTTTATGTTTTAATTTTTCTGGATTCTGTTTTGATGGTTAAATTACATTTAGTAATCAAATATTATGTCTAATTTATTGAAATCGTGAAACTAATACAATGTACAAACAATTTATTAAAAGTTTAACAAAAAAAAAAAACAAGTTCTGTTTTATTTTTTCCAAAATGTATTTTTTTCTGTTTTCATTTTTCTGGATTCTCTGTGAAATCAAATTTATTTTATTTTTTTTTCAAATTACGTTTTTTATGTTTTAATTTTTCTGGATTCTGTTTTGATGGTTAAATTACATTTAGTAATCAAATATTATGTCTAATTTATTGAAATCGTGAAACTAATACAATGTACAAACAATTTATTAAAAGTTTAACAAAAAAACAATTTCCGTTTTATTTTTTCCAAAATTTATTTTTTTCTGTTTTAATTTTTCTGGATTCAGTTTAAATACATTTGTAGTAGTCAAACATCATGTCTAAATGATTGAAATCATAAAATATAAAAAATATACAAGTTTACAACAATTTATTAAAATGTTAACAAAAACTACATTTTTAGGGCCCTATAAATAAATTTTTCCCAAATTCTATGCTTTATGTTTTAATTTTCTGTATTTATGATTTACTGTTAAAAAGTAAAACATGGAAGAAAATTGTTTTATATTCTTTAAAAAAAATTTGTTTTTACATCATTACTTTAATATGTGGGTCAAAGACGAAAAAGGGTTTAAAAGTGTAATACTAAAATAAAAAAATTTCTGTTTAATTTTGGACATCTTAATGTCTTTGACCCATGTACATTCTACTCTACAATAATATATTTCTGTCACAGTTTTTTATTTTGATGGGTTGTTATGAAGAACTTTGAGTATCTGTTTGTATATAACATGACAATAGCTTTTCTCGAATGAAACGGTGAAATGCTGGTGAAGTGTCTCTCAGAGCAGCTCTGGAGATGAACTTCATGTGTTCAAGTCCTCATATAGTGAGACGGCAGACGCTTCAGTACGTGTAGAAGACGAAACTGCGGCGCTCAATCACACAGAGATACCCAGACTTCATATTAAATAGCAGTCCTTTGGCGGATTAATATTCAGACTCTATTTCATATCGTGATCTAATTTACTGTTCAGTGCCACTTTTGATTTATTCATCTAAATTTTGCCTAATTTCCTGACATTCCACGTCAAGTTTTTTTGACTGGATTCTGCGATTCCGTCCATTACAGAAATCGCAGGGCTCTGTATAAATGCGGCGGTCACTCACCCGGGCATCACGCCCCTGCTGACCACCCCGCAGCTCAGCAGACCGGGAGGGAGGTTGGTCGCAATGGCATCAGGCTGCGATTGGACGAGCACCTCGATGACCGAGAGCAAAGCTCGCCGAGACGCAGCATCCCTGAGAAGAGAAATCAAGCCCACCTTCAGTAGAAAAACATGCTTTAATGGACAGAGGACAGGAAACGGCTCGCACTCACCTGTATCTGTGCAGAGTGAGATAGAAGAGCTTGCACAGTCCTTTAATGGCTGGCTCAGGAAGATCTGAGGAGAGAATTTAACCACAAAGAATTAGAGGATTCAAATCGAAGTCATTCACACCGTCACATCATTCCAAACCCATATCTGAAGATGCACATGTGTGAATGCAGAGTTAACAGACACTACTGCTCAAAAGTAGTTTTTTTTTTTTTTTTTAAGAAATGAATACTTCTATTCGGTAAGGATGCATTAAACTGATCAAAAGTGACAGTGAAGACATACAAAAGATTTCTATTCAAATAAATGCTGTTCTTTTAAACTTTCTATTCAACAAAGACCCTCAAAAATAAAATGCATCACAGTTTACACAATATACAAAGTAGCACAACTGTTGATACTAATAATAAATGTTTTTGAGCATCAAATCGGCATATCAGAATGATTTCTGATGCTGAAAATTCAGCTTTGCATAACAGAAATAAATTACATTTTAACATATATTCAAATAGAAAACAGTTATTTTAAAATTGCAATAATATTTCACATTTTTACTGTATTTTTGATCAAATAAATGTTGTCTTGGTGAGCAGAAGAGACTCTTTGAATAACATTTTTAAAAAGTAGTGCAGGACTTCTAACGACTTGAAATGTAGTGAGCAATTGATGCTTTAACAGTGTTTTTGTCACTAAACACGTCAAATTATTTCTTTAGTCGGATACAACAGCAGGCAGATAAACTCACCCTTTCCTCTCACACATTCCTTCAGTTCTTGAAGAATTTCTTTGCGCTCTTTGACGCTGGACGACGTGACTTTCACAGCGAATCTCTTCAGTGTGTCTGAAACCTGCCCCTGCAAACACAGATAACAGCCATCAGACGCTGCTTAGACACATGCAGCTAAATCAAAATATGGATATCATATCACAGTTCACCATGGTAAACAGTGCTCCCACCACAATATTAATCACTCAATGTATTGTTACAATAAGAGAGCACGAGTTGACATTGTATTAGTCACCTGACAGACGGATATTCATTCGTTATGGTTTGATATTAGTAGTTCAGGCATGAATTATGATTACCATGGTACATTTCCATAAGTGACTCCTTACACAAAGTACAGTGACGGCATCAGGCGATTGTTTGATCAGTTTTATGTAACACGGTATTTACACAGCATTTTGAAGATTACCGTGATAATACACTGCTATATTTCCAACAAAAAAAAACACATGGTTTTACTATGATACTATGTCCAGAAACATGGTACTTCTGGCACTTTCTACTGTGTGTTTGAGATCAAATAAGTGGGTGACACGCTTAAAACAGTATCGTTCTCTTTCAAAATACGGTTAAATCATAATAAATGTGTGTGTTATGCAACTGTGCTATCATTAATGTTGTTTATCATTGTTAACGCA